ACCAGGAGAGTTTACATCCAACCAAGCTTTGGAAGTGTTCCAACTGGCAGTCACCTAACACTTTTATTTACTTTTATTTAAGTCTTTTATTTGTGGAACCCTGGATACCTGAAATAATTCCTTACAACTTTCTTACTAGCATGCTAAACATGACAAAGATCAAAATAAACTAACAAAATACAAGAGGAGCATTTGCAGTTCAGGATATTGCTGTTTCACAAAAATGCCAGTTGACAGGTTTGTTATGGAAGATTAAGTTACAAAGAAGCAGCTCTTATCCAGAAATCTTGACACTGTATATTAATAATATATTTTTTTTTTAAATCCTTTGATTAAAATGATTCCCATTGCCACATAAATATGGCTGCACTACAAAGCCCCCTCAGCACATACAGCACTCCTATCTCACTCTCCATCCTCTCACAATCACTTACATGCTAAAATTCCCCTCAACGCAAACACACTCCCTATAATTAATGGACATGAACTAGCATTAGAGTGATTTATCGTGCTGTTATAGGCCTTTTATTAAACCCTGATTAATGGCTCTGAATAGTTGGAAGTACTTTGCATGAAAATGGAAAAATATCAAGACGTTACTTGCAGAAAACATCAGCTATCAGCCACGTCGATACAAAAGAAAACTATTGTCGTCAGCCTTCAAAAGCTCAGATCTGTTATCATAACACAAACACACACCGGGTTCTGTTCTCCCTCCACAATTTGCGTCACTAGCATGTACAGTACTTTACCACTGATGCTATTTCAGTCATGCTTGGCAGCGTTATGAGTGCGTCGCGCAGCCAAAGACTTTTTTATTGTCTCCACACACACATGCCGTGAGTGCACTAAATAATCTGAAGAGTAAATCTAGATTCTCAGTGAAAATCATACTTGAACGCTGACTGGAAACATTAAAGTCTGTTATGATCTTTGGATTGTAATACAAACTGTTCCTGAGAAGTGAGTCGTGTGAGTCTGCCAGACTCACTCAGCTGCTCATTTGCTGATCCCTTATGTCACTCAATCACTCTCTCTACTCAACTCTCGCTTTCACTCAATCACTCCATCATCTTCTCTGTTTACATTCACATTCTCACACACATCGTATTTGTCTTTCATTCAAGCATGACAGATTTTTTAAAATCCTTTTCTTTGTGTGATTATGTTCAAGCAGATGAAAGCAGTTAAAGCCTAGAACCGTATGAGGAGCTTTTCCAATGCTTTGCAAAATCTTACAGTTTACAGCCGTTTGTCAGGCTTCCACTTAGCAAAGTCGAACCTATAGTCAGTGCTAAATATTCTTACAAAGGAGTCAACTCATTCAAATAACAGCTCCATTCATTGTAGGAGTTTCAGTAGGTTTCTTGTTGACGTCCGTCTGAAATTCCAGTGGTATTAACTTTTATAGTCCAGCTGCTGGCCTGTCAGTTTGTTACCGCTCCTGTTACTGCTGTTTTCAGGGTCGTGGCAGTGAACGGACTTCTGTTTTGCATATCTCCATTATTCACATTACTTTTTGTTTTGCCAGTTGAAATGTCTTTTCACTGTGACTGTATTCCCGAAAAGGTAAACTGTGTCATGTCAGAACATGAGCTGGTTGGATTTAGATTTACAAACAGTTTATTTGACATTGAGTAGAGGGACTTAAGACTAGTTTGCACTCAAAGGAAGTCCGACAGTCTGAAAGCACTGAAAAGCTCCAGTGGTTCACAGGGCAGGTGCTGAGGCACCTAGGGTGTGCTAAGGAAGGGCCCCAAAAGAGTTGTTCATTTACATCTTTTTAGATGAGTACACATTGTTAATAATGTTTCGATTTAAAAATTGTGTCGTGTGATACATCTGAGATGAACCTCACCTGACAGGATCTGTGAGGAAGAACACTATGAAGGGTTGCCATGGTTTTTAAAACAGTCTGGAAACTGCTGTTTTATCTTGCCCAGGGGCACTTTGACAGGCTGGGTGTTTGCTTTTAAGATGGAGTTTAAATCTGAGTGTTGCATCACTGTCTGTATTCACCACAGCCTCACTACACTGCTAAAATTACACTTAAACACCCCCCCCCCCAACATGCAAATTAATTTACACTGATAATAATGAAAAGACTACTTGCATGTTTTTTGTGATTAGTGTTTTGGAGTATAGATGTCATTTGAACTAGTCTGCTCAGTTAATTCATGCTTGTGCGCCCAGTGTATATTAAGTACTGTGTAAGTGAGTTGTGTGACTGTTCTCTCTAAAGCTCTGCATGTCACTATTACCACAGATGTACTCTCTGCTCTTCTATATGCATATTTCTTCCCAAATATTTTAGCAGCTTTATCCAATTTGTATTCAGCCTAATTGTAAATACATTTTACCACTATTAATTTCTCTTGTTTAAATCCTCCCCTGAGATGCCGGCCTTAATATGAGCAACTGCTGAAGTGATTAAACTGCAGACAGCAGCTGACATTCAGGGAACTAAACGCTTCTTGTTTTGCAAAGAGCAGAAAACAACACAAGTTTTTTTTACAGCGTACAGCTATAATGAATTACACTGCATTAATACAGTGCGGTGAGCAATTAGCAGCTCTTATAAGTGTCTGATAATCACATTTTTATCTCTATTTGTCCAGGGAAGGTGTGCTGAACAAGCAAGCTCTCATTAATTACATACAGTGAAAGATGCAGTCTTCTGCTGTTTGCCCCAGAGGTGCTCCAGCATTATTTTAGAAACACTGAGGTCATGAGTCCAACTTTCCCCATTTATCTCCTTGTGATATTTTCATGTCACCAAGAAGCCAGTGAAGGGTTGTAATAACATTCTTCTCATTTTAGTCATTTATTGAACAGTTTTGTTATGTTTTGTGTAAGTTTCGTCCCGTTATGTCCTACATGATAAATGTCTATATGCTGTTTCACATTCTTCTCTGCACTGCCATTATTTAAATCACGGTGGAGGAATATAAAATCGCCACATCATACTGTATACACTGTATCCACAACATACTCCAATTTCTGACTGAAAACAGTGACATTTAATTAGTTAATTTTAAAAGATCAGCCTACAAACTCATGCATGTGTTATTTGTGTCATTGCAGCCTGTAAAATCTCAATCCGGTTGTGAATGACTTCAGTTTGAGGACAACTAGTCAATAGTTTTTTACTCTCCTGAACCAGATCATCAGTTCACCACCAGTTTTGACCCAAAAGCCATAAGTCCTCCAATCTAAAACCATAGCTTGTTCGTCCCTGTCCTCAGACATGACCCATAGGAGAAGACCAGCAGCGGGCGACTGGACCTTCTTCATCACGGTAACATTAGTACACATGTGGTTAAAGTTGTGGAACAATCACAGTTTGGTTTGGTCGGGCTCAGGCACAAAAACTACTTGGTTAGGTTTAGGGATATAAGGTTAAAGTTAGAGGAACTGTGTTGTCATGGTTACAGTAGTAAACATGCAGTTGAGGTTGTGGGCCAGTCATGGATAAAAGAAACAACAACTATTGGTTTCACACAGGAAACAAAGGTTCTGTGTTTTGTTGATCCATCCATCCACGCCAACCTCCTCCTCCTCCTAATGTGGAATTTGTCACACTTTATGCTACGTCACCTGACTTCCTGCTTAGCTCCCATAGCAATTACTGCGGCCACTAGAGGTTGCCTAGCAATAAAACGGAACTATGGGATGTAATAAGCTGCTTGCACAGACAACCTATGGGTTCGTTCTTTACAGGAGGACAGTCGCATTCCTCCTGCTGTACAGTGTTCTGTGATTTGAATCAATGACACTTTAATATTTAATATTTATAAATATCAAACACTATTATTCATATTCCCAGTGTCTGCAGTGGAGTCTGATGATGGAGAAAGGTTCTGGGAATCTCAAACGTCACCTGCTAAAATTACATTCTTCTGTCAGAGCTGGCATTTCCGCACCAAAGTTGCTGATCACACAGTGAGAAATCCATCACACCTCAGCAACCTCATCAGTCCCCAGCTGACCACAATGTGATGCAGCGACCAAACATGTTGTGTTCTTGGTATCAATATTGTTTTCTTCACACATAGAACAGCATCAGTATGCAACAAGTTCAGGCATGTTCTGCAGGGAAAAGGCTTTCTGGGGAATGTAAGATATCAGTGACATTCATTAGATGAGGCAGGTTTATGCACCAGTGCTCTAAACATTACAGTCTGATTCTGCATTATTGTGTCTGATGTGTATATAAACTGCTTATTTTTTGTGAATATTCACCTTATAATCAATATTTAACAAATAGAGTAAAAGAATACTTGATGAGTGAGAAAGGAAAAATATAGTTCTTTGTCATACAGGTGATCTTCCTCCCTTTGCAGTCAGCTGTTTCCTCTCTGTGCATGTTCAGCCTTTGTCAACATCACCCTGAGATTTACAGATAACCTGTTCTCCAATCATACTTCATCAATGTGACTGAAAAGAATATTGATCCTTTGTTTAAGTTAAAATGAACAAAGGACAAAATCCATTTCAGGTCATTTAATACATAATGAATGATGTGTCAGTGTTCAGGACACTTCATATTCATTTTGGAACATGTCCCTTAAATCTCCTCAGTAGGATGTGCAATTTAACCTTTAAAGCTAAACATTCTTTGTTTAAGTTGTATGATTAATTTATCAAAGGACAGATAAAAGGTGCAGTTACATGTTTTCACATGAAGAGGATCCTGCATGTGCCTCCAAACCTGAATATTTAGTCAAATTCTCCGCATTTCCATTAAGGAAAGATCAAAACCAATGTACAAACAGACTGATGGACGTATTTGTTAAGCGGGACAAACTGTCAGAAGCCACCTATGACAACATTTTGACACCGATCAGATGTGGACTCGCGCCGGCTCGGTGGACACTGCCCACTCCTTGTTACCAGACCCACATGCCAGCGTGAGTTTGCGTGCGCAGTCTTTCTGCTCCAGCCCTGCATGCGTCGGGAGCGCACAGAGGGCGCACCGGTGTCAGTTTGCTCCAGCCCCTCGTAGCGGTCGGTCGGTCGCTGCTGGTTGCGCGAAGTGGCGTCTCAACGAGCAGGAATTTGGGGAGTGGAAATTCCGCTGTTACTTTCACGGCTCGCGTCGTGTTCCTGACATTTTTTCCGCTGTGTCGGCCAAGTGAGTCGCTGCGAACAGAGAGAGAGAGAGAGACGCGGAGAAAGAGCTTGAAATAAGGAGCAAAGATCTGTTGAGCAGCGCTCTGATGTTCTCCGCGGTTGCTTTCCATTGAGTACCGGCTAACTAGTGATTCCTCTTTTAATTTTCCACTTGGAAGTACTGCTGTCGCTGCTGTTTGGTGTCAGAAGTGAGAGGTTTGATGAAGAATCGAGGGCGCACAGCTGCCACTTTTGGCGAACGGATTTTTCCTTTTTGATTCTTCGTCTTTTTTCCTCTTCATTTGGATTATTTTTTTTCCAGGAGAGATGGCAAGTTGTTCCCTGACAGACGCAGGGATCTGGTGCTGAAGCTCGCAGGATGCTGGAGACCCTACAACAACCAGATTTCTTACTTTGAGACAATTCTCGGTTATTTCTTCTCATTCGGACGTAAACCCACCTGGACGTTTTTTTTCCCGTCACCTCTGTGGGTCTTTATTTTCTTTTTTCTTTTACACTGTCTGTGTTGTACAATCTAACAAGGATGCGTAGTGGATTGCTATTGTTCCTCTTCACCCAAGTCGTCTTGGTTGCTTCGTTGACTCAGACTGGTAGGTGTTGACTGATTGTATGAATACATGTGGCTTGACAGCAGGCAGCCTAGCTGTGTATTGATCCATTTTGCATCATTTTGCACCTTTGTTGCCTCTCACCTGTTATGCCTCGGCTTTCCCTTTGAGAGCACGTCCGCAGGGACTGAAGTCAGACCATGTTAATACTGTTTTTACTGTTTATTATCTTCACGGGAAATAAAGCCTGAGGACATTATACAAAATACACCAAACAACAGAATGAATAGAGGCATTTTAGTCACGCTAAAAGATTCATAAAGTACCATACAATCACTAAAAACTGACAATTTAATATCACGACACACAAGAAGTCCTTATGTTGAGATTTCCTCATTATAATAGGAATATTACGCATTTTTCGCGCTTCAGCCAGTCATTTTGAGCTTTAGCGCGCGCTGCCACTGAAGCCTGATATAGGCTACAAGCAATTTAATAAATCATTCATTGAGAAAATTAAATTTGATCATCCTGCCTGTTTGCAGGAGAAGCAGCAGCCAGCGCACCTCACCTTCATGGGCGTAATCACACCTTACAGCAGGGATGCAAAGGAACCCTCCTCACTTTACACCACACCTTGTCTAAAATAGAGTAATTGTGGTGTTTTATCGCCTTTTTCAGGCTGATAGAAATTATTAGAATGTGAATTTTTATAGTTATAATGTGTGAATTGGGCTTTTGGTGCAGGCATGTTTTTTTTGTCAACATCATTTTTGCTGTAGCGGTGGATGTTTGTTGGATTCCTGATGATCCCCAGCTGAGAGTCTTAGTTTCCTCACTCCATCCTCTCTCCATGCTCTCTAATCTTTGACATCAAACTGTTCCACCACTCAACAGTTGAGCGCAGTTCAGTGGCCAGAAAGTCAATTTCTCTCTCCACCAACTGACTGAACAACTTTCCGCCTTTTTCCTTACGCTGCAGATAAATGCGGGGGGAATATAGAGATAGACATCGCGGACTACCTGACCTCCCCGGGCTATCCCGGTGCCTACCCGCCCTCCCAGCAGTGCGTGTGGGTGATAACCGCCCCCGAGCCGGGTCAGAAGATCCTCATCAACTTCAATCCGCATTTTGATCTGGAGGACAGAGACTGCAAGTAAGAGTTCACTCCTCACTCTCCCTCTCTCACTCTCTCTCTCTCTCTCTCTCTCTCTCTCTCTCTCTCTCCCCTCCTCCTCCTCCTCCCACTCTCCTCTGCTCTCCGCTCAACCCTGCCTGGATACAGTATGAAACTCTGCCACCTATTGGTCAAGGAGCTAAATATCTGATACCAGGGAAAGGAAGGTGCAAGGTTGAGATATGATACCAAGGCTGCTGGAAATTACTTGATAAGGAGGGAGAGTGACTTCTGGAACTTGTCTCCGGCTGGGTTTTTGAATTGATATGAATTTAGATCAGAGCAAACCCCCCAAAAAAACTCTGTGTGCTGCAGCTTTTTATTGATGGAGTCGAGTTTGCTCGTTGCAGGAATAAAGAAATGGTGTTTACTTTTCATTTGGAGGCAAAGTTTGCCTGTTTGTATTTGGAGGAGGAATAGAGTTTGTCTGGCTCTTTGTGTACAGGAATAGAATCTCAAGGATCTAATTTAATTTTACAAATGATTGGAAGTGCTGTTTGTTTTGTTTTTTTCTTTTTTGTACGTTAGAGATGTTAAAAAGAAACAAATATAAGATGTTGTTTTTCTCTGAAGCTGTTTTTTCTCTGCAGTTATGTTTTCACTCACCTCATTCACCTTCATATTTCCAATTACCGCAAAGATAACACTGCTGCAAAGATAAGTCCTTTAATCAATAAGTCAGTTGCCAGAAAATTAATGAGCAACAGTTGCTATTTAACTAATCTTTCAGTGGTTTTTGGAGCAAGAATTTGCTGCTTAGTATAAGGACTGTATCTGAGTTTAGGACCATTGGTCAGACACAACAAGCAGTATGATGACAGCAACTTGGACTCTTGGATTTTTCACTATTATTTGTCATTTCATAACACAAACAATGAATGACTAAGCAAGAAAATAATCTGCAGATACGGCGTACTTCTCGTCACCACCACTGGTTTGTCAGGCCGTGCACAGGTCGGCCAGGTGGTAGTTTGGGTTGTAAACATGTTAAAAATGTTCTTACACGACAGGAACGCTCCACGCAGACACTCAAACGTGCATCAGAAATCACTCCTGTGCGTGTCTGATGGTGACACACACACACACACACACACACACACACAACTCCTATACCCCCTCTCCTTGACACAGAAACACACGCTCGATTGTTTTCATGCACACAACAACCCATGTGTTGCTCTCGTCCATAAATAAGCTCGTTTTTTATGTCGGCTCCTCTGTCTTTTTTAAAAGCTCCATAAACGGCTCCTGTGTAAATCACACAACTAGCTGTCCGGGGCTGCCTCACAGATGGGGTCCTCCAATACTATTGGATCATGTTTCCCCACCAAGGGACTAATAAACCATTAGCCTTCCAGACAGATAGTGGATATTGTGTTGTTCAGTGGATTACACATCTACATCAGTGTGGCAACAAACGTGCAGGAAAGCTGCTCCTTGAAAACGTAATTCTGCAATGACCTTATTTTTGTGTGATAACCCTGGGAGCAATATAAGTATGCAATCATGCTGTTTAAGTACTTAATGAAATGTAATAAATCCCGGTGATAAAATTTTAGTCAGTAGCTGGCACTGTTGCACGCCACCAACAGAGTGTTATTGTCTGCTGAAATTACTTTTCCATAGGTTAATGTGCTGGAATAAGCAGTTGTAAAATAAAATATTATGGTTTTTGTCAGGGTTTAACATGAGCTAATCGTTTTAGCATTATGGTCTTATCTAATGAAAGAGCAGATAGGCTTCTTGTATCAGAAGAAGAACCAGAGGAGGGTGTTCGGGTGCAAAAAGGATCATGTTATTTTCTATCCAAAAGGTGGTGAAAAGTGGGGGGTAGGTAAAGGTAGGTTATAAGATGTCCAGAGGGATCTTTTTATCCATCTGAAGAGCCTCCTCTAGATCTCTCTCTAAGCTGTTTCTCTGTGTGACTGGACTGTTCACTGTGGCTGCACACATGATTCCACGTCTGGGTGAGCCCGCAGACAAGAGACCAAACATTTCCACATTAGGACTGACACTCCGTCGATGCTGCAGTCAGAGTCAGACCTGCGGCCGTTCAACAGCCAGGCCACCCTGCAACCACCTTAACATGCCATTCGGCTGTTTTCTTAGGGGCCTCCGTTTCGCTCGATTGGTTTCATTATTTGTTGTGTGAGTTTATGTTGGATGATGATGGGGTGTATCTCATAGCTCTCAGACTTGGCAGGAGCAGTGTTGTTCTTGGGACCGAGTCAAATGCTCCAAATATGCCCATTGAGGGGGGCCTTAAGCCTTTGGCGAGGCCGCAGTCCTACTTAAAAATTTCCTGAGATGATATTTAAGAGTTTTATTTCACTGTTTGATGCCACCGAGCTCAACGTCAGCTCCAAAGTATGATACTGGAGTCAGTGAGGCCATGATTGGAAACAGCAACAGAATATAATGTTTTACCATGAACGTGAAATGTTGTACATTAACCTCTGCTGGCTTTCAATTAAGGCACACACAGGGCAATCTGCTCTGCCTAAGTGTCCATGAGCAAAACACTGAAACCTTACCAGGTCCAAATTTGACCTGGCAAATTGATTGAGCCATTTTTAAGGCAAAATTATTTGGTTTTAACTTCTCAAATGTCAGGATTTTCTGCACGTTTTTATTTTAACCTGACTTTCTTTGGATTTACGATCATTCAGTTGGACAGCAGAAGAGATGAGACAACACTTTGGGCTCTGCAAAATATTGACAGGAATTTTTCATTGTCGTCAGACATTTTACAGATCAATCGAGAAAGTAACCGGCAGATTAATCGATCATGAAAATAGTTTGTTGTTAGTTGCAGCACTAATGTAAAACATAAAGTTCTGTACCGTAAAGTGAAGCTTATAAACTAAATCAACAAATATTAGGTTAGATTGATGGTAAAACTACAACTGTAACAAAAGATTGTTTTCACTAGTTGAATGTTTGAATAATCAATAAATCGTTTTGTCTGTACAATGTCAGAAAATAGTTTAAAAAAAAAACCTGAAACCAGCGACTCTTTGTTTGCCTATAAACAGGTAATTGATCTGAAAATTTGCTGATTACATGTCGGCTGATCAGCTGACCAGTAGATCAGCTGACCAGTAGATCAGCTAACTACGGATGTAACGTAAAGCACAATGCTGAAGAACATTGTGTATTTTGCTTCTCCAGTAACCCTCAAAGTAACTGAGCTTGTTGGGATTCAGCGTCGTGCTCACGTAGATTTTTATATTCTGTGGGAAAAACAGAGCCATTGGGAAAGTTTCTCTATCATTCCACTAGCCCATAGCTTTAGTTCAGATGTTGTCTTCTAATTGAAATGTATTGTTGGAATAACACCCCTCCTCCTCCCTCATCAGATAGCATGTCACTGCTTGCCCATTTCTCCCCAGTCCCATAATTAAATTACTGGACCAAAATGGAACAAACATATTCCACTGCTGTGAAGCATGTCTGCAGTTAACCAGCCAAAAAAGAAACCATAGCTCTGGCATCCACAAGCAAATGCCGGCTACGTTTCCGACATCTGTGGTAAAAAAATATCTATTCCCTGTTCCCCCCCTTATGACCCGGGGTTTGTAATTATGATCCCTAATTACAACGTTTTTAAAAATACATATTTGCCAGTCAGGAAATGTTTTCTACATGGATGATTCATGAAGACAGAAACTGGAACTTTGGAGGTCTGTACTAAAATTAGATGATCTACCAGTTTGGAAACAGTGTCACCTTATCTCAAAAAACAGCAATTTGAAAGACAGAGAAGCTCTGTGTTGTCAGGCAAATGACACAGATGTACCGAATCGTAAACTTGATAACATCCCAAAAATGATACTGCAGTATATTTCAAGATGAGCCTGGGGGATACTTAGATTAATTTGTGGTTCACAAGGCCTCTGTGAAACAGTCAGTCTGGATGGCGACCTTTTACTTCCACAAACTCTCAAGTGACACAGTCTGTGCTCAGTGAACAGACGTTGGTTTAGATGACAACCAGTAACACTTTTGTTCAGACACGCTAAGATCCGTCAGCTCTGCCTCCGTAGCCAATCTGGAGCGACACCAGAACAAGTCTTGTCTCACGTCCACGTCTGAAATAGCGTGGCCGACAAAGTGAATCCCCGCGGAGCGCGGCAAAATAGAGCAGAGGCATGGGTAAGGAACATGCGTCGGTGGCAGGATAATTTGGGACATCTTTTTAGGAGTTGGCTGAACTGTTACCTCCTACGTGAGGCTGCGCTGGCACAGTGTGCACCTCGCACATACACACAACGCATACACACACAGGCAGCACAAACTTTCTGTCACTTACAGTATGCTTCATGTGCACTCTTTGGTGCACACAGCTACAGTATGCACACTCTGCAAATTCTCTGATACACATTCTTGTGCAGCTTTGTGTACGCACAAAGACAAACGCTGGTGCACATTAAAGGTATAATGCACACTTTTCACCTGGGTATGGTGATGTATATTGGATTTGTAGGTTCATTGTTGTTGTCTGGTGCAATCTTTTTTCTTCTGTGGCCAAACCCAGATGATACAAAATCATATATACAGATAGAAACAGAGAAATTAAAGGACAAACTGAGTCCAAAAACCAAGGCGTTACTAATATTTAATCTACCATCATGAACATAAATGAGGTGGACAAAATATCAGAAACTTTATAAACCTCATGATGTTAGGATTTATTGAGGGCTGTTGGATTTGACTACATTTGTTTTGGTTACAGGCTCATTAACTGGCAATTGAGTGTAAAACCCCAAAATTAACTCAAGTTCAGACCACTCCGCCTAACTGAGACAAAGGTAGATGAGGCACGTTGAGGGAAAGTGGGGAGAGCAAAGAAGTTAATTACAGCACTTCATCACAGAATAACTGCAACGCATTTACTATCACATGATGATAGATAACTGTAGGTGTGATTTTCTTTTAACTCCTCTCCTCCAAGCAGACCAGCACAACAAACAATGTTC